TTCGAGCGGGAAGACTGCAGGCGCATGCTGAGCTGTGGGACACCTACTTCACGTTGGCGGGAGAGGGCTCCATACGGTCACCAGCTAAGTCGGTCCTTAGAATGGTGCGGGATGGGGTCTCCTTGGACTTCGTGGGGGTTTATGCTCCCGGACAGGAGGCCTCGCCTCACAGGGCTCAGAAGATGCGTATAGTCCGGAAGATGCTACAAGAGGCCTGCCCAGGAAAGGTTGTGGAGGACTTCTTCGAAGGGGTCCAGCCACACGCCATGCAGTTCCCGAATCACGCCAGCACTCAACAATACCAAGACTTCGTTTCGCTGGAGGTGCAACACGCCATAGATCAAGGGGTTCTTCGAGTCTGGGACTTGCCTGATCCACCAACCGTCATAAATGGCTTGCGAGTCGTGGTACAGCCCGAGAAGCTGCGCTTGTGCATGAATCCCATGTACATTAACCTCTTCATCCGATACCGTCCTCTTAAGTATGAGCGCCTGGCGGACTTGATGTTTTATGTGCAGACCCAGGACTACTTGTACGCAACAGATGATAAATCGGGTTATTGGCAGGTTGCCATGCACCCGGACTCTTATCGCTTCCTGGCGGTGGAGTGGTTAGGGCGCCTCCTGTACTGGGCTCACATGCCCTTCGGTATCTCCCCGGATTGCTTTCTTTACTCGAATATGAAGCAGGAGGTATTCTGGCCAATGCGGGACCATGGGGCCCGCCTCACGTTCCTTATTGATGATCATGCGGCAGCGGCGAATGGTAAAGATCGAGCTAAGTTCCTCTGCAGAACGGTGGTTATGATATTGGTAGCCCTAGGTTTTACATTAAGTTTTAAGAAATGCCGCCTCATCCCAGTGCAACGCCTGCGCTTCCTTGGCCTATTAGTGGATGCCTCCAGGCAGACCTTTGAGGTTCCTGATGATAAGGTGGAGGCGCTAGAGGCCTTTGTAGCGGAATTCAGAGCCGCTACGCCACTAACCATGCGCCAGGTGGCCCGCTTGGCGGGTAAGATTATGGCCATGAGTTTGGCGGTGTCCCTGGCCCCCTTGCATAGTACGATGGTCGGAAGAGCTTTGCAGGGCAAGTGCTCCTGGGAGGAGGCGATAGGTCAACCCCAGCATGTCCTGGAGGCAGCGGGAACTTTTCTTGAGATTCTACATACTAGGAATGGGAGGGCATGGTGGCGAAATGAAGCAGCTGTTCAGTTACAGATTGCGGGTGACGCCTCAGAGAAGGCATATGCAGCACTTTTACCCAACGGCGAGCTCGGAGAGGCAGTCATGCGGGTTCCCTTCTCCCAGGACGAGATTCAGCTTCTGGCGGAGGGCCGCCTCAGCAGCACGGTGCGGGAGCTACGGGCAGCCACGTTGGCATTGGAATGGCTGCAGGAGCAGGCACCAGAACTGATCCGTGGACGGCGAGTGCAGTACCAGACGGATAGTCAGCCTGCTCACTTCTGTATTCTGGGACAGAAGGGTGCAGGCCAATGCCTGGAGGAAGTGGCGCGGCTATGTAGGGTTAGTGCTCGGTCTAACACCGAATTTGAGACGGTGTGGTATCCCCGAACAGCAGCAGCTCAGCAGCAGGCAGATCGTATCAGCAAGGAGGAGGATGTCGCCCAGTGGAGCTTGAATCCGGAGGTTTACCAACAGCTTCTATGCGCCCCTGGAAAGAGGGGCGCAACCCGGACATCGACTGCTTTGCGGATGCCACCAACACCAAGGTTCCTGGCCGCTTCTTCCCGGGATCGATACCCGTTCGGGTCAAAGACCTTCCGATGGTGATTGCGCCCCTAGTTGATGGACGGTGGTGACCTGGGATAAAGTTAACCTGCGAGCCGACCAGGAATGGAGTTGAGCCACTGTCGACCCGGCAGATTCCGTTGGATGCTGGTGGTGGGTGTGGAACTTGAGCGATCCACTGAGAAGTTGACTAGGGTGACTGGATGAGGGTGCCCCGAAATACCAGGGAAGGCAGGGTTTCGCAGGGTAGCTGCCACGGGCGAAGATACACCCCCCTGTTTCACACATCATATATGTGTGTTTCTGTGTTTTACATGGTCGTGGACAGCCTTTTCATCGCCAATACGAGGCAAAGGCTCAAGGGCTGCCAGATCGCATCAAAGCACCGTCCTACCTCGCACTTCAGACAAAAGCAAGTGATCAAGGAGACTAACGACCAAAGGGAACGAAAATCAAACATACATAGTAATGATCCATGTAAACACCTAGGGACGTGCACACGACCATGCCTCGACATTTTGTACACGTTGGATAGGGCCCTTTTGCTTTGGCACTTTCCTCTCCACATGCCTGCACTTAATGTGTTCTCCGCATGATTTGACCGCACAATCCAGCATGCACGTGGTCACGGCGTGTGGCCACGTCACCATCGACCCGCCGGCACCGACACTTGGTCACAAACTCTCCAGTCTTACCCAGCTCCGCGCATAAGACGGAAGGGTAACCAAGTCAGAACTCAAGAGCCCGAAATGCGCCGTATATCAACAAGTAGATCCTGTGATTCTGGACACGTACATTTTTGTTTCACTTCAATCAGACTTGGTTGGCTATGGTTACGTAGGTTTGAACGGATGCTTGTCAGCCAGCTGCCTGTATGCCATTTACCTAAAAGCCACCACACATATGCATTTTAAAGGATTCTTCTTGGGAGCAAAGCGCCTTCTTCCTTGAGATTATCAACGCTCCTGGAGTCATTCTTCACTATCCTTACCTTATATTATTGTACCTACTCGCGCACGCTTCGCGCGTAGTTTTTCCGCCGAGCCATCAGCTCTTCAGCCCAGAGGGTTGCAAAAACGGTCTAATCCCCCAATCCCGGGGTGTGGTAGTGGTCAGCCATCCCCCCATCCTGGCTGGGGTGACCGACTCCCATCTCCCATCTTAGGGGCCCGGTGCTAATCCCATCCTTTGAGACAGGTTTCCCATCCTGCCAGCCTGGGTCCCATCCCCAATCCTATGGCCAGGGTTTCCAATCCCATCCTGCAGCTGTGTTCCCCCAATCCTCATCCTGCCAGCCAGGGTCTCTTCCCAATCCCTTCGACCAGGGCCATCCCCATCCTGCAGCTGTGTTCAGATCCGAAAGCTGTCAGCCAGGGTCCCATCCCCATCCCTTGCCAGCTACAAACCTACTCCTTACGTTTACACAGGTGCTGTAATATCGGCTTTCTCTTTAGGCGTAAATCAGGGGAATGACCAGGGTTGTTTTCTATTTCCGCGAGATATTTTTCTCTTGCTCTATGGCTTATTTCCTCTAGCGTCAAATTCCGCCCGGCTGTGTTCGTTCCGAAGCAGACTGAAGCGACAAACGCTCGTTGAAGCGGATCTCGACTGAGGAAGAC